CTTTTTCACGGACCCAACCAGAACTTTGCTGGCAGAGGTTCAGAAAGGTTCTCTGAGACAAAGGTTCGCGACTCTGATCAAGGCTCTGTTGAGTCCAGTCTTATTGACCACGGACGAGACCAGCTCAATCATCCTCGCTCTCCTCATCCTCTTCGTTGGCTTCCAGCACCTGCAACCCGGTTCAACTGACATCAGCCCGGAAAAACGGGTGCCTTTAGACTCAAATATATACAACCAATATTAAACAGTGGGTTCAATCATCCCAAGATATCCCAAGTAAAGGTTGAAAAAAAGCAACACAAATATCCAAAACCGCCACCCAAATAGTAATGCCTCGATCCCGAAAAGTTGCTGTACATGTGCCTGCCTCTTGAGCTCGTTACCCGTCAAAAATTGTGGGTGTCCACTGTCCACTTCACATTTGTCTGCAAAGAAACGGCCAGAGCAGCCCAAACGAGAGCATACCAGACCCGAACAGGATACAAACGAATGCCGCCAACGAAGCCGGACAGGAAACTGAAACCAACATCCTATACCCGGGCCCGTAAGGGGTGTCTAATAATAGCTCCTTAGAGGTGATTCGGGGTGTCCATTAACCACCCCGACTGGGGGTGCTTGAAAGCTTTTGTAAGGATGGATCTGCTGTCCGCAAAGCTTGTAGAACAAAGGCGATCATAACATGGACATGACACGGAAGTAATGCCTCCATTCAACCAACTCTTGGGTATAGGCAGGACTATACGATAGGCGTGTTGCACACTCCAGAATCCCGCATCGTTCAGGCAAAGCCATGAACGAAAAGCCAGAAAAGAGAGGGAGAGAGAGGGAAAAGGATGAGAAGGGTCTTCGAAAGGGCCCTTGACTCATTCCAATGCAAGTTAAGTTTCCCTAAACATCTAGGAATCAAATCATTAGTGCGAGCGCTTCTTCAAGGAAGCATGAGCTATCCTGCGCCCATATATAGAAGCTAACTAAGCCTAGTAGCTTACCTCCTTACTTCATTAAGTAGGCGCCTACTAAGTAGGAGGGCTGGACCACGGGCTTAAAAGAAATAAAGAAAAGGGCTTTCGATTCATTCCAAGTGTTGCCTCGACCGACTGAAGTTTCACGTCTGGTTGCGGAGATTTTCTTCTGCGACGGAGGGAAGTGTGCCTGGGGTGCCTCTGCTCCATCGTCCTCTTCCAGTTCGGCCAGCAAGGCGCTGGCACCTCAGGCGAATTAGCGCTGAACCAGACGAGCTGCACAGGCCTATAGTAATTACAGGCATGTTTTTGCGCAGCTCTTTTGGTACGTAGAATCTGGGGCAGGTCAACATGGGCTGCACATGTTGCGTGTGAAATAGAATGGCATTCCAATCAACCAAGAATGACACATCCATTGGAGCGTGTGTTTAGGAAGACCCGCCTGGCCTAATGGTTTTGAATTGATGTGATATAATATATCTATTTAACAGTACATACTCTCCCTGGAACCAATCTGGAAGTGGAAAGCCTGTTTGTAGAGGAACAATCACCTTCCAAGATGACCCATGTTCCACGAATCCATGTTTCACTCGCCAGGGAGTCACTCGAAGTCCACTCCGTAACCGTTGTCTCTCCGAGACGCTCCAGCGAGGATCCTCTTCGGCCTCCGGCCCGCGAGGGCCTTGCGACGGTGGCCGAGGTCAGAAGGCCTGTTTTGGTGTGTTCCCTGGTGTGTGTTCTCTTGGGTGGATGGATGGATGGATGGATGGATGGATGGATGGATTTGTAGGTGTGTTTTGGTCTCACTCAGTTCCTTAAAAGTGGACAAAGGCAAAAAGTGCTGCTGCTGCTGCTGCTGCATACAATCATACAGTTTCAAGGCAACTTCCTTCCACACTTGTCTGAAATAAAACTAGATAGATTTAGATAGATAGAGATCTTAAACATCAAGACTTGTTGATGCTGCAAATCACAAAAGATCTGTAGCCCTCAACCCCGGCCCTAGCATCCGTTGCAAGAACATGGGCCGAATACGGCCTCGTAGCTCCACGGGTTCATGACTTCATGACTTCTTTGCGGGCGCCAAACAAAAACATAACATGTATATAATGTCCATAACGTCCACCTGTCCAACATGGTGTTTGCATGTGTTTGCAAGATATTCACAATCCAACTGCGGGTGTATTCCCAGATCCACATACCTCCGGAATTGAGTCCAGGTGTCCTTTCATGTGTATTTTTGTTTTGTCTTTTGGTGTCTTTTGGCATGCAAGGGTTTCTCTTTGTGGGTCATCGACCGGGGGAGACAAGCGCCCCGGTTGCTTCGTTTCATCCATCTGACCAGGCCCCCGGGCACTCACCCTTCTTGGGCTTGCGCAACTTCAAACCAGTGCCCTGGACAGCCTGACGGTGCGGTGCCGAGTTCGTTTGGGTGCGGCGCGCTTCGTCAGGTGTCGTCGACGGTGTCACCAACGAAGACCCACGACCATTCACAACATAGACAATTCAATAGCTCTATAGTTAGGTGATCTCACACGCGTCGTTAACACCATGCATGATCAGTGTGAGAGAGATGGTCACGCCTCAAGCAGATGGTCACGCTTCCGGCCGGCTACTACTCCAATTGGTTCTCTTGCAATGCCCGTTGGTGAAAGGCGATGACATGCCCACAATGCTTTCGATACACATGACTGGCAAAAACCACAGTCATGGAATAGAACGTTGTGTGCAAATCCGTTGTATCTGGGGCTGCAGGATACCCTGCCCTGCAAGACCTTCTGAAAGCGATCCCAGGCATCGCAGAAGTTTAACATCTGCACAAATCCGGGAGACCCTGGTTAACACGACTTGCGGACCAGTCATGGCGCTCCCCCCCAAACTCCCCTTGACACTGCGATGTCGGGTTAGCTGGGACCGGGAGACCCTTGGTTGACCGCAAAACATCTCAGAACAAACGAACGAGGTCCACCTAGCAGGGTCAACCAGGCAACCCGGGTGCGTTTTGACCCACAGCCATACTCTGGATAGATCAGGCGATAGCATCAATGTGGGATGAACGTTGGTAGATTCTCCTACTTTGTTCAGGAAATTTTTTGGGGTTCACCTAAAACTGTTGAGGTCACTTGGCACTTGTAACTCGGAAATGGCTATCCTTTTGGCTTGCAAACAAGTTCTGAATGTCAAAAAAAAGGGAACCATACTATAATATCATAATATGTTTTGTGTGTATCATATATGTTTGTTTACATTACATGGCCCATGACCCAGACCTTTATTTGCACAAAAATGCATTTAAAGGCTGAGAAACCACACGAATCCTTCAGCACGTTCGGCAATCCCTTTGGGCGCTCATGTTTAAAGAAACCTCCCTCCCCTCGGCCCCCACACCAAGTACTGTGCATCCTGGCAGAAGGGAAGTTCGTCTCCAATCAAACAACGATTTTGCAGGAGACCCCCTCACACCTGGTATGACAAGCACACCCGCAACACAAACAACGGCCTACCAACACCCAACAATACCCATCGACGATGGGCAGAATGGATACAAATAATATAAAAAACATTAGGTGCTCAGCGGATATATACTCTTGAACACATCACCAATCTAAGCAACATATTGCAAAATACAAACATCAGACTGTCCCAACTACCAGCGGGCCCTTTGCGTTGGCAAATCAATCCTTCAATACGTGTCCCGAGCAAGCAAATCCAGCCAAGTTCACCGAGCATCGAAGACGTTTGCTACCCGGAACCCTAAAGAAACTAGGTCCCTCTACCAGGAGCGGTCGGGAATGGTTTTGCATCTCATTTTTTTGGTCTATTTATACATTTATGTACCTCCTTAGAGTCCAAAGACCCTTTTGTGGGCACCGACCAAAATAGAGGATATTCCTTTTCAGATCAGCTAGTCAATATTATGACCCTTCCCGAAGATCATCGTGAAAGTGGAAGATGCTTGTGCCTGTGCCTGTTCAGGCCGAACGGATTTGCTCAATACTGTAAAATATCCAGAGACCCGGCATGTTTCCGAGGGGGCTTTAAACTATTCTGGTTGACGGGCTTTATATACGGCTTATATCTGTTTATCCACCACTGCTTAGGGGGAGAGGGGGGGGTCAATTTCTTTTAGATGGTTTACCCCCTCTTACCGATGTCCCCGATCGAGAGCTGCGTCGCTTCTTCCATCCGTGGTTTCGTAAAAGACCGACAGTCCATATGAACCAAGCCAAAGGCAAATGCACTAAAGTGACAATTTTGTTGCATGACCAGTGCATGAGATGTTGGACAGGTCGGCCCCTATTACGTTTGAGGTTCGTTTGAGTTCGTTTGAGTATCCAATCAAGGCCGCTGCGCTGGTTTTTGCCTTGAAGACCATGTTGATAGAAACTGTTTGCCTTGAAGCTTGACTAAATCCTCCGGATTTAGTCGATGCGGGCTGAAAAATCTCGAGGCGGCAAGGCTCGACTTGGGAAAAAAACAGCTTGCCTTGACTAAATCCTCCGGATTTAGTCGAGGCGTATTTTTTCCATAATCAAAATTGATCATGCAAATCTAGACTTCCTGGCTCCCGACAATTAGATTCTTTGGTAAAACTCCCCGACAATTAATGTATTTAGTAAAATTCTCCCGACAATTAGATTCTTTAGTAAAACCTCCCGACAATTAGATTACTTAGTGGACCCCCCCCGACAATTAGATTCAGATGCGTCATCCCAAATCAACCAGAACCGTGAAAAAAACAAGGAAACAATGAAACTGAAAATGACATTTCTAAAGGTTACCCCCCTCCTCCGATTTCTAAATCAAGGGGAGGGGGATATCTGTTTATAATCCATCAACCGTCTACAAGACCTGTACATGCAACATTTTGGACCATCGAATCCGACCGATGTCGCTGAGTCGCGGAGTCGCGGAACTGCCTTGCGCAGCTTGGGGAACTTCTCCTCCCGGCGCCGTCGGACCTGGGGAAGAGCCGAAGAACATCTCAGTGAAAACAGAAACTGTTTGGGTGAAAAGAAGGATCAAACCAAAGATCTTTTAGGCAATGCTGTATATAACATCGCACATCGCACCTTTGCTTTCGCGTTCTTTGTGTGACATCATGGCGTGTTTGCCAAAATAGCCCTTTTGGCCCTTCTCCTGCCATTTCTCTTGCCAGCTGGCTGACTCATTCTGCTGCTCATGCTGATGATGCCGCCATCCACCATGCTGCTGAAAAGGGTATACAGCACCTGCACGCCAATTGAAAACTAGCTTCGCTCCACCACCTGCAGTGGCTTGGGCAATTGAGGCTTGGGTGCTTTTTGTTGCAACCTTGACGAAGCCTCTGTGGACCGTCGGGGACTTGTGTCCGTTTCTAGCCCAGCATGTTGCATGTTGACTGACACAGAGAGATTCAGCATCAATCTGGATGGCAAGGAACAAGGTGTGAAGCCACGGCCGGAAGGTCAAGTAGAGCCAGTACATGAGGGTGGCACTCTAGAAGGGAGATGATCCTGGTACCACCATGGCACTTCCAGGTCATGGCCAAATGGCCCCACCTTGTGGGATCTTGATTGCCAGTTCCACCTCCACAGGATTGCTGCGGGGGGAAGAATGTGTGTGGGTGCTTCGCAGGATTCAGGGCCTATCCATTCGTTAGAGTTGAACGGCTGCAGCAGGAAGTCCACGGCTGCTCACGGCTGCCAACTCCAGATGGCACGACCATGGACAAATGGACACCTGGCCCAAGGATGTTTGTTCATTTTTAGAAGGCAGCTCCCAGTCGCGAACGACTAGCATTCTGACTTAAATGAACAAACAAGTATCTATTCTAAAGCATGTTCCAGATGGTCACTGACTTACCAACATTGATAAATGACAACAAAATACAACAGTAGTCACCCGATTCATGATGCTGATCTCTTGAAACCACGGCAGCCATGAGACAAAACCCGTCTTTTCAGGAATTTGTTACGTGGTGCCTTCGAATTCGCCTCCTCCACATCCGTTCGACCTCCAGGCTTTCGACCGAAACCTCCGTTGTGCTTCTCCAGTGCCCCATCCACCATGCTGAAAAGCCGCGGGTACAGAAGGACCTGCACGCCACTTTAATAGTTGAGGCTTCAGCTGGCCGTTCGCCTTGCTTCGCTGCTTTCGACTGCCCCTCCCAGGTCCTCATCTTCTGCATAGCCACTGCCACTGCTGCACGTCGCCATTGAAGTTTGGCCTCCCAAGGGGGTTCAACTCTGTCTTTCCAGAAGTGACGGGTCACGGATGAGGCTGCCATGTGTTCGCTGAATGGCTTAATGGGTGTTTCTGCGAGCCGCTGGACCGAGGTCTGTCTTCCCGCATGACTTGAACATCAAGGTATGACTTGAAGGCACGTGACGTGGGGAATGCTTGTGCAACAGCGCAATAGCTGTGAATGCTTCGTGTGATATATGCGCCTTTCGCCCTGGCGCATACTTGGTGTGCCACTGAGGGCAGTGCCCCAAAAAATGCTGTGTGTGGTTCAAGCCTGCCTGTGAATGCTTCCTGTGATATATGCGCCTTTCGCCCTGGCGCATACTTGGTGTGCCACTGAGGGCAGTGCCCCCAAAAATGCAGTGTGTGGTTCGAGCCTGCCACAAACAAACGAAACAACCCTGCCACAAGCAACAAATAAGCAAATAACAAACCAACCCAAACACATAAACCAAATATATACAAAAAAACAAACAAACCAATCAATGAACATGAAAGAGCACTGGGAATCCATCCCAAACGTGTGTGTGTGTGTGTGTGTCTCAGTGAAACAATTTATAAATATACACATATATCATCATCATCATCATCATCATCATCATCATCATCATCATCATCATAAGCATCATCAATCAATGAACATGACAGAGCACTGGGAATCCATCCCATACTTGTGTGTGTCTCAGTGAATCAATATATATATATATGGTACCCCCCCCCATGTACCCCCATTTCTGTGTGGTTCACACTAAACTTGGAGGTAAAGACATGTTTCATGTCTTGGTGTCAGATGTGCAGGGGGGGTACCATATATATTGTTTGAACTCTTGGGGACAAGTCTTACTTCCCACATCTGAAGGTCAAGAAAGTTTCAAAAAAGTTTTAAAAGTTTTAAAACTTTTGGGAACTAAGAACTAAGAATGCTGTTGGAGAGTCTGGGGGAATCTTAGTTCTTACTTCCAGAAAGTTTTAAGACTTTTAAAACTTGTTTGAAACTATTGTATGGCAATGTTTTCTGGAATTAAGATTGCTGTGGGAGAGTGTGGGGAAATCTTGCTAGTTCTTAGTTCCAAAAAGTTTTAAGATTTTTAAAACTTTGTGGAACTCTTGTATGGCAAGGTTTTCTGGAACTCATTTTTCTCTGCGAGAGTCTGCTGGTAAACTTGCCTCACACTTGCCGACCCAGCTGCTCGTTTTGTAGATTTTAGACTCGTAGACTCCCTCAACTTGAGTCGTCTTTCGTCATGCCGTCCTTTGCGGTGTCTGGAGATGTATCCATGTCCGGAGACAGTGCCCAGCTGAGCCTCCAAATTTCTGAGCCAACCATCGAGACGCCCAAGCTGGATTTCAAAGCTCTGTGGGAACGCATTCTGGCCGGCAACATTCCTGTGCACCCTTCACGTATCCCCCTTGACAGGAAGACTTTGGCCATCATCATCAACAACATCCAAAAGACAAGAAGCCTTCAGGCCGAGAGGAATCAAAAAAGGTGTGTGGACTCAAGCCGCCGAAGAGGATCTACGCAAGTGACGCAAGTGCCTTGCTTCAGCGAAATGTGTCCCCGCAGGAAGGTGGAGGCAGGCACCCAAATCATTGATCGTGTTTGGCGGTTCTTTAAGTCTCGCCTGGCTTTGAACCAACATTCCAAGGCAGGCTCAGTGAGGCTCCGGGAGCAGATCCGGTCCATCCAGTATAAGTACTGGAATCGGAATAAGGATCTGTGGGTGGCTTCTGGTGACCTCTGCGCATGGTTGACACAAAAGTTTGTCAAACCAGTTGAGTGAAGCACCTTCGATCAGGGATTGAAAAAGTCTGTGCTGGCTGTGTCTGCTTGTCAAGTAACAAATAGGACTTCTCTTGCGTCTGCTTCTCAGAAGGCTTCTCAAGGAACAAGTCGCAAGCTTTAGCATGCAACTGTAAGTGTATCGTCTGCTGTCATCTGGTAAGCTTTAGCATGCAACTGTAAGTGTATCGTCTGCTGTCATCTGGTGCATCCTACGCAATACATATGCAAGTGTCTTTTTGCTGTGACATGAAAATGCAGTCATCTGGTCTATCTGCACTTGAAGAAAAACGGGGGTACTTGGGGGGTTAGCATATATATATACACATATATCATCATCATCATAATAATAATAATAATCATCATCATCATCGTCATCGTCATCGTCATCACCATCATCACACTTGTCCAAGACCTGCTGGAAAAGAAAAACACCAAGGAAAGGCAAGGAACACAGGTGCAAGAAGCAAACACACAAACTTTGCGAAAAAACAACACATCGATCAGGGAAATCAACGCACCCAACCCCTTCGGTCGCCTACTGTGCTCTGGTCTGAGCCACCGCATTCTCTTCATACGCTAGCGAGGCCGGAGTCGGGGCAGTGCTCTTCTTCTGCTTCTTTCCGGTCAACAGCTTCTTCGGCTTGCACTCCATCGACACAGCGATCGTCGAGATGAGCATTCGGCCGCCTGCTTTGGCCGGTTATGGGTAGACCCTGCGAGGTCCAAGGCTCAGCTGAGCAGCGCTCAGCGCTAAAGGAGAAGGCAGAAGAGCATTATCGACCATAGCCCCGAGCTCCTTGTGGCCTTGTGGTTGTGGGTGTAGACCTCCATTCAGGTGTATACCAAACACGATCGCTTACCACGAAAGGGTTCCTCTTTCAAAGGGACCCCCCGGAAATACAGGGCAGGGGTGGAACTGGAGCTGGCCAGCTTCATATGGACCTGGCCAGCTCCAGGTCCCACCCTCTTTCCTTGGGAACCTCGATGCGAAGCATCTTTCGTGCGACGTCACGTCGACGTGGCCGCCGCCCGGAGGCAAAACCCGGGTGACGTCGTCTGCTTCCAAACACCCCCAACGTTGGATGGTCGGCCTTGTGAGCGACCTGAGCGACTCAATGGTCAAGGCAAAGAGAAGCGAGGAGCGCAGCCTCCGGGAACGAGGGGCCGAAGCCAATTGGGCCCGAATCGAAGGTTCATGACCAAATGCCATGACGTAAGGCAACCGGCAACCTACCTATATGCCTATAGGAAGTTGTGTTTATGGGTGTCAAGATGTTTCAAGGAATAAACTCTATCAATAAATGCTTTACCAGCCATTTTTGTATGCTTATCCAAAGTCAGCAATGCACAATGGTGAAAGGCACAAACATGCATATAATGCAAATCCAGGTTCAGTATGATGGAAGAAGGAGATAAACAAGTGGATCTATAGAATCAGAAACCAGGCTCAAGGATAATGTCAAAGCTCTGAAGGAAGGGCCACTATAGAGGGGATTCCAGAAGCAAGAGACTGATCGATGTCCCCACCAAAAACATCTTAAAAACTTGTTATAAGTTACAGCGCATGTTTCAGCGTAGGCAACGACTATGGATTCTCCCACATGTTGATTGCCTCCCCAATCCACAAAATGCATGTCACAATTAAGGAACGTCCTCAGCACTCCCAACCAATAACTTGTTTAAAACGACACACTGTATCTAAATGTTCATTGCAAAAAAGCCTTTTGGACCCTCCAGCGCAGGGTATGATCATTTGTGTGCTCTATAAAAATGATCAAGAATCAAGCCGAACCCCCCATATGATGTCAGCTTGCCAGGGACACCTCTCTAAAGAACGATCCCTGAATCCCTGGATCGCCATTTGATAGATGCATGGGATCCGTCATAGACCATCATTCAACCGAGATGAACTTTCCACCTGCTGGATTTGAGTGAGGAAAGCCAATCCCCCCCCAAAATACTTCTGCAGCTTATCCAAGCCAATCCTGGGGGTAGGGCCCCCAATTCCACGGGAGAACCTCACCCTCAGCACAGCAGTCAAAATGCTTCGCCTTCGACCGATCTCTTCGGCTCCAGGTCCGACGTTTCCAGCGTCGTTCGCCGCTAAGGCTGCAGGATCTCTCGGAGACGATCTTGGACGTGACCTGGGTGGATGGACATCGTCTTGGATCAGATCATAGAACGGTGTCATAATGAATATGGTCCATGGTATCAGAACCAAATCATTCTGTGGGTGTGTTGAACGAAACGTAAATGTGGAGCATTAATGAGTATGAATCAATGTGACCACCAATGGGGACATTACGCACACTGCCTACGTTTTGTGTTTTTTATGTGTCCACCTCCACACGAGAGTAAGAAGGGTTGAACACATGCACTCTTAAGTGTACATATATGTTTTTCGTTGACCGAACACCTCCAAAGGTTTCCCATGAAAAGCAACCGCTGAAGTACA